TGAGTAGTTTTTTAAATAGTTAAACTTGAGTATTTAAACATCTGATAAATCATGGGTTATCTGAAGAATGAAATTGTAAATATTTTGGCACTAACAGAATTCCATGCAAAGGTCTCAATCTGAGTATAAAATCTTGTAGTTTCCTGAACTGTTTTTAGACTGGTCGAGGTAAATGTGGTATCTGGTGTTCACCTGTCCAGAAACCAAAGCCATGCTCAACCCAGGTGAGCAGAGATGCTTTGGATGACACTGTTATCTGTCAGCACTTGATACAGCAGCCACAAATGCAAACATTTAGAGCATTTTTAAGCCAGAAAAAAAAAATCTCTAAAATGAAAGAAATAACTGAATGAAAGCATGTAAGGGTTTGAGTAGATGATGCTGACTTTACTGTCCTCTAAACTATGTCTGCAGCAGCCCAGAGCTTATTGCCAAGAGAAATTAAAGAGAAGGTGTCTCTGTGCTGTGTGATGTAACTGGTGAGCAGGTGCTCTGGCGAAGGGTGCCCTGTGTGTGATAAGTGCCTACAGATAGAAATGCTCTGTAAAGGAATCACTGCTGGCACACTGACACATGCTGGCAGATTAAACTGTGTTTGGTGGAAGGATAAGAATCTACTACAGCTCTTTAAAATCACCCTCGTCGTGATCACCTTGTGATAAAACATTAATTTCTCCAGTGTGAGTGTAAACGTAGCACATTTCCCAGATGATCTCTTAAAATAAAAACAGATGGGTGCCTGAGTGGACCAAGTCAGCACAGCCAGTCAATGTCCAGTGTTACTGCCCAGGGCTCAGGATGAAATGGGAATGGTGATGGTGCCTCAGGTTTTACAGCCGCCTCTGTGCCCAACTCTGACAATTATTTATTACCACTAATATTGTGCTTTGTAAACTCTTACAGTGCTTTATGAAGTAAGACATGTTTTCTATTTTAAAGATCTTATAATCTTGTGGGCTGATAAGGGATTATCCCTTGGATGTTCATAAATAGCATTAGCACTAAGAGTTTTATTAGCGCCGGGTCCTTTCAAGCCTGGGGCTCTTTCTTTTTCTTAGCAACACGTCCCTAGTCAGGTGCTGAAATGAGGATTTTGACACTGTGATGTTCCAGGCTGGCACAGTGTGGGCATTCTTTTGTTTTGCTTGTAGTGAAAGAGGAAAAGCCAAGCAGAGTCCCAGTGCACTGGCTGTTGCTCTGCATGGGTTTAATCCACAGCCTTTGCTCGCCTCTCTGAGACTGCAGATCTGGAGTTTGGGGGATGGCAGCAGAGAGCAGGCTCGGGAGGTTTGTGTGTGTGTTCTTGCGCGTGTTTTAAATAAACAAACAATGGAACAGCAACTCCAACAAATTGTGAGTGGTGCTAATTTGTTATAGTGCTGTCTTGCCTTCTGGCAGTGTTGATTTAGGAGAAGCTGAGCAGACTGGAACGGATGCAGGGAGCTGCCGGTTCTCTTGCTCTGGGATGTGCACATGGTTCAGTGTAAAATACTTCTAGGGGTCCTGTCCTGAGGAGCTTTCAGATTACAGGGTAAAGCACATACATAGGCTGCCAATCCCCTTTTCAAAACCAAATCTTGGCCCAAAGTACCTTCCCCTCTGTCTTGCTCCTCCCCTTCCACTTCTTTAAAATGAAGAGATGTTTCAAGTCTTAATTCATGACAAAAGCCTATAATTTGTGTGTTTTGAGGACTGCCAGAAAATCCTTGACCTTGACAAGAATAGTGTGTAGGGAAGGAAAGGAGGAAGATTTTGTGCTTTGGACTGTAGCAAAGTTTTCAACACCCCATGACCTTGCTGGGCTGCCTTTCATAATGTGCCTGGGGCTGTAGTCCCCTGAGCTGAGAAGCTCTGACAGGGAGGGCTGGCCAAACGCACCCGAGGTACCTGCAGCCCTGCACCACTGCTGTGAGGGCTGCAGGATAAAGCTGGCAGGATGGGAGCCAGGCATATGGTGAGAGAGATGCCATTTTGGTCCAAGATGGTTACTACCCTGCACCCCTCAGTGTTAACTCTTGCAAGTTGGTGGTATTAGCAGTGCTCTGGATGCAGGTGCTCCTGTGCAGATTGCTTCTCTCTGCAGAAAAGTTTGCTGAGTCTACACAAGAAATAAAAATAAGAGGATCTTTATCAAACCCTCTCTCATTTCTCCCAGTACTCTGAGGCTTTGTTTGCTCTAACAATTCATGTAACTAAGGAGCCTGAGTCACAGTGGATGGTCCCAGCTCCTACCTCATCCCTGTCCTGGAGATCCCTGCCCAGCTGCAGGGAGAGTGGAAAAGGTCGTGCATTTGCTCCAGTACCACTGCATTTCACAACCTGCTATCAGCTTGTACCTGTGGTGACTCAGAGCCCTAAAGTGCTGCAACCCGGAGGGTGCTGTAGGACAGTGTGGGCTGGAGAAGGGTCATTGGACATTCCTCCTTCTCTCCGTGCTGTGTGTGCCCCCAGAGCAATGCTCAGCCTGAGGCTGCCACCCCGTGCCAACTGCCCTACCCTACTGAAGGACAGGGCCCAAGCCTAACACTCTCTAGGATTATCTGGGAGGTAGCAACAATCCTTTAGTCATGTCCTAAGTTCTTGCATTGTAAAGGGACAGTTCTGTACATCAAGGCTCAAAGGTAGCCGGGAAGCAGAAATTTTGCATACCAAAGGGGTCTTAACTGGTGGATGGGTGGAAGAGATCCTTCCTCCTGTGTGGGCTGAGCTGCTCCACTCAATCTGTGGGTATTCTAGTGCAATAAGGAGTAAATAAATAAATTAATTAGATTAGCATCGGACATCGGAGCTGCCTTTACTACTTGCAGTGCAGGTACAACTGAAACGGAGCTTGCTGGGTTGTTGCAGGACTGCAGAAGAGCCCAGTGGCTGTTGCTGGTAATTAGCTGGTCACAAGCTTCTGAAGCTTTTATTTGTTTTGTGCCACTGCTGTGTTCCTGAGATCAACTGTGCTCTGCAGATATGCAGGAATTTTTAGTGCCTGGCTCTGCCTGACAAGATCTGCAATGTCCGTGCCTCTCCTCTCCTCCTCCCACTAGAGGTTTGGGTAATCTTAGGCTCCTTCATGTCAGCAGTGAAAATAAATGTATAATATACAAGTGCTCTGTTTAGGAATTGGCAGGAAGCTTCATTTCTGACTGCAGTGGGATGTTCTAACAGTAGGAAACACCTTTGGTTTAAGCAGTTCTCTGCTAATGTCTGCCCTAGAGGGGAAATACAACTATGGAGAAGAGCTCTTGCTTCACAGAAGCAAAAAAATCTGCATTTGAGCTGCTGTTCAAGATGTACCTTTATGCAGCATTCAGCCTTTGTTAAACTGGGTGCTTCTGGTATTGCTGAGGGTTTTGCAGAGTTGTGATCCTGGCAGATGCAGCCAGAAGTATGTTGCTCCTATGCAGTGCAGAGTGTGATCTTCTGGGAGGGGGAGCTCCGAGTCCCTGGGGCTCTGGCCCATTATGCTTAAAGCTGCAGGGCAGTTAAATGTGGGTTGGCCTGTTCATGCTGGCACTGGGCTGTTCAGACTAGTTCAGCAAATGCTCTTGGCTCAGCACAGCCCAGGTCAGTAAGCAAACAGTTGCTTACATTTCACTTCTTCATTGTATTGACAAGATTTAAAAATCTTCAGTCTATAGCAGTCAAAACAGGGTGATCTGAATACAAAAGACCTGTTAGTTCAGTGTGAAAGGGATTTAGTTATAGAATTGTAGGGATAAGTATGCAGGTGGGAATGGTGGGAACACTGACCTGGGCCTGAGCCGACCCAGCCCAGCAGATGTCCAGGAAGAATGACCTCTCTCCTTATATTCAGTGTCCTTTTCATGAGGACAGTTTCTGTTTCCCGGCCAGTGTCCTCCTTTATGTTCTCTCTCATCCAACTACATTAATTATTGTAGGTCTTTTTCATTTGGCCTTTTATCTTTTTTAAGGTTGATAATCAATATTCTTCTCACTTTTTAAATGTAAGATTTCTGTCTTCAGCAGCACAGCTGGAGACATGCAGCCATCAATGTGAAAAGAGCTATGCAGATGTTTTACTTCACTCTGAGGGTCTAAAAACCTACATTAAATCCCTGCCAGGCTGCAGGCTTTTTTCTGTACTGTTTTTTGGGGGTTTTGTTTGATGGGTTTCACTGGAGCAGTTTCATCACTTGTAGAGAGGGACCCGTGCTTAGCATCTACCCTCAGACTGCCCTCCATGATAATCCTGCTGGAGCTGATTACGGGAACTCTGTGGGAAGGAGGATACACACTGCAGAAGATACGATCAGCTTGTCAAACTTAGGGTGTCTGTGAGATGTGCCTTTCCCTGATGTGGAAAAGATGATGTTGCTTTTTCCTTTGGGCACGGGAGGGTGGAATTTCAGATCTTAAGTTTTGCGACTCTCGTACAAGCTGCAGTTCACCAGGAATCGACGTGATCTCCAGTCTCTAAGAACATAGATTAAATTATCAGTGAATAGTTATGATTATAAATAGGAGAGGGTATACAGTATCTTCTTCTCCCATCTTGCACCAAAGTATCCAGTCTGGCTCAATGCCATAACATCTGTAGGCTTGGGAAGGGGCACAGGGAAATGGGGACAACACAGAGGATCAGCATTTAAGAGTTTCTTCCGTTGCCTGTACTGTGTGGGAATGAGACCCTGAAGCTCTGGCACCAGGCTGTTCCTGTCATAGAGGCATTTCTAAATGGTGATGATATTTAGTTGCCTGAATTTCTGGGCATGATGAAGCTGGTGCAGACATCCTGGAATCTGCTGGGTTTGGATACATATGGACTGGTCCCCCTGAAGCTCAGTAACATTGGGAGTCCTGAGTGGAGGTGGCCAGAGTCAAAAAGAAACTCGCAGAGTCCTCCTGCTCTGCTGCCGTTGCAGTTCAGCAGTTGTGGGGAGATGGGTGGAGGGGAGGTTGTTCTGGTAGTTACATATTTAAGGCAGGTGGCCGTTTTAAAATGTACGTTTCAATTTTGATTGCAGTTTTTTAATTGCATTTAACAGCGTCCCTGCTGGTTCTCCATTCTGCATCCGTGCAGCCACGTTCTATTGATGGCCTGTTGTGATTTCAATGGAACATCATGGGATGTACCTGGCACGTCGGGCAGCACTGGATGGAGGTGCCTTTAGCCCAATGTACCTGGCATGGTAAGCGGCAACCAAGTGGTTAATCTGCATTCTACTGCTCGTAGTCTCAGCTTGTGTAGCAAGGTATTCCTGCTTTGCTGCAGCCTTGCACTGACTGGAAATCACTTTGCTGTCCTAATGTTAGTGCTTTTGTGCACGCAGGGCCCCTACCCTTTCCACCCGTGGAGATCCCCCTTCCCTGGGAAGTTTGCCATGCAGTAGAGAAGGGCTTAGCCACGTCAGGCTCTCCTTGTTATTCTAGAACATGAGAGAAGGGACTGGGAAATCGTCTGACTCTTCTTCTTCTCTCCTTTTTGGGCCAGGAGCTGGTAGCAGTTGAGCAGGTATTGCCCACCTACCACATGTTGCCGCACAGAGATACCAAACAGGTGCTTGTGTCCACGAGCAAAGCTGGATCTGCGGGAGCCCTGCGGGAGCTGCCTCAGGGAGCCGGGAGGGCAGTTCTGCCTGGCACTAATTGGAATGTAATGAACTAAAGCAGGGCCACTTTATTAAAGTTTGGTGATGTGGCATCCTCTGCGAAATTAGCCTCCATTTTCCTTCTCGTTTCCATGTTCACACCTGCAAAATCAGCTGCACATCCTGCTCTGTCCTGCATGTTGCTTTCTCTCCCCTCCCCGGCTCTGCAGCCGTGTCCCCGGGTCACTTGACATGTTGGTCTAAGCTATTTTGAAGTTCAAAATATTTGTGTGAGAAAAACAAGGGTGCTGCATCCTGTTTTCTGCTTAAGCCCAGTTCACAGAACTTTTGCTGCTCCACTGCCAATGATGAAAATGCATGTTCTTGCTTCTGCTTCTGAATTCTGTTGTCTGTCTGCTCGCAGGGGCTGGGGATAGGGACACATTTGGGCTAACACAGTTCCAAGCATTACTCCCTGTGCTTCTGCCTTTCTGGAATGTGAATACCTTTAAAAGTCATGGGCTAATGACCTGCCAGCTGCAGCTCCTGGAGGGCAGGTTAGCGGCCATGAACCACCCACTTCACTGATAGTCGGGACAGTCCTGGAAATAGGTTCTGTTGGGATGTGGGGAGAGGAAGATCAGATGGGCCAGTGAGGAACAGGAAAGCTCTCTTTCCAGTGGGGTCGTCAAGTGCTCAAAAGAAGTTGGTTCATCCGGAACTGAAGGGTGTAGAAGTCATTGGTTTCAGTTTCACCCAGTTCCAGGAGCAGCTGGACAGAGCATTTTTAATGTCAGAAATTGGTGGGAGAGAGCAATGTAGGAAACAGTGGATTTAATTCTGTCTTGTTCTTCCCCATGCTCACCACTGCAGTGTCTGCTCAGTGCAGCACAACTGCTTGGGAAGGTGGAGAACTAAGGAAGCAGGCCACTACCTTTTCCTAGGTCTGTTATAACATGCACAGTAGGCTGACGCTTTAACAGCATCTAATTTGCTATATCACATCTAATCTGTTTGTTGGTTTTTATCTGCAGTACTGTTAGTTCACTGCTCAGGTGCTCGGTGTCTAGCCTTCTCATCCATCCACAAATCCTCTACGTGAAATGAGTGGTTCCTTAGATCTGTTTTTGATTGATTCTTTGCTTCACTGGTGTTGCTGCTTAAAAGGTAAACAATATTCATGTGCTGCAATCTATAACTCAGAGATGAAATCAAATAGCATCTCCTGCCAGAAGTTGCTAAGATAACACATTTACCATTCATTCAGCAATTACTTTTAGGAGGAGATTTAGTGATATTAAAGAGAATCAAATCTGTAGTGAATATGTAGATTTTATACTGTTTAAAGGGGTGAAGCGATTTCTCTTCTCCTCTACGTTCGCAAATTAATTTTCTGTGATGTCCAGAATATCTGTGGAAATTGAGAGAAATTTAAATTTTCCCTGCTGTGTAGTGAGAGCAGCACAGCTCCTGGAGCAGCCTGTGTGTTCTGCACAACCTTCCTGCCCTCAGGGTGCCAGAGTGCCCCAGGCTGGGCACAGCAGCCCGCAGGTACCCAGCTCCTGGGGCAGCATTGCTTAGGAAGACACTGCTGGTGCTCAGCTTGCGAAGCTTTGTTTGCTGTGTGGCATCTGCTTGCAGCATCACTGCATTCTGTGATTTGTGCCCTGTATCTCTCATGTCTTTGCATGTGCTGTGTCTCAGTGTCATGGATATGGTGGAGGTAGTGGAGAGCCTCAGTCTTGCTTCACTCCCTCCTTGCACGGCAGTATTTGAGCAGGTTCACTGCTCTGAAAACTGTGTCTTGAATGCCAAGGAACCAACCAGAATGTGGGAAAAGACCATCACTGATGCTCTTTGTCCAGAGCCTTCTGTGATCATGTTTTAAATGCAAAGGAGTGAAATTTTGCACACCACATTCAGTGATTAAAAACTGGGGCCCCAGTGAGATCATCTATGTATTCTTGAGGTCTGGCGTTTGGTTTATTTACTAGAAATGCATCTAAGCCTTTTGTGAGCCAGGGCTCCTCTTAGCTGGGAGTATGTCTTATCTGTCTTTTTGCAGGAAACAGGAAAGGAAGGGTTATTAAAAATGATACTGAGATACAAGAAGCATAAACCCACTGTGATTTTTCAGCGCTTTGGGGGTTGTGGTGATGTTATTCAGAGGTTAGAGTTTGTAAAGAGACAGTCTCTGCAAACTCAAGGATAGCAAGGCCTTTGTAAGGGCTGCACCTGCCATTTGTTTGGGCAGATCTGCCAACTTTTATATGGGATTTAACCTCAGAGTTGTCCTTGGTCCCATGCTTTCAGCTAGAAGTGAGATCCTGGGAATGCCATAAGTTAAAGAATAATGCCTGCTTGTCTTTTGCTAACACCTTTTTCAACACACCTTCTCTTCCTCCACCTCTGAAATGCATCAGTGCTACAGAAGGGTTTGTGACTGGTCAGCTCTGGAAAATATCTGGAATGATTTGTTTTTGTTCAGGACTGCACAAGATGCACAAGGCAGGTTGCTATCAAGCTTCTGTCAGCAAAGGGATGTCAGTCAAAGGAGTGTTCCCTGAGCCACACTGCTGTCCTGGTAGGCAGTTCTGACAGAAGTTTAAACATGGTGCTCTAAGCTTGGCTGAAGGCTTTGCTGCCTTGTTTCATTACATTCATTTTGTTGGGGTTGCTAAACCCATGTTAGCCCTCAGCTAACCAATTCAGATTTGATAAGCAGTGTTACAGTGCTTACACCTGACCACTGCTTTTAAAACCTACTGAAGGTAATAAGCTACCTCTTACCTATGTCCTACTGAACATGCATAGTTCTGTAAGATTTGACATGTGAGATAAATAGAGGTAATTTAAACAAGTTGTACTATGCTAATTTTTATGCTGCAGAACATTCTGAAGCTTAATAATAACATTATCTTCCTCATGAAGGTCAGTAAAAAGCAGAATTACAATTCTACCTGTTTCCAGGGCTTTCCCTGCAGGCTCATTACCTGGTTTCAATATCATTTAAGGCAGAAAGAAAGAACAAGAAAAGAAAGAAGTACAACTCTAAAAATATTTTGCATTAGTAGCTGCAACGAGCCTTGACTCTCTGCAAAGGCTTAGACAACTCATAGACAGAGATTTCTAGGCCTCTGCTTCAAGTGCCACATGAATGGGAAATAAGATCACTTTTACTTGAGTGACATACTCCTTTTTTAAATTTTATATTTTATTAGCTTGTTTAGGCAAAAAATATTGGCTGTGCTGTTTCCCTTCCTTTCCATCCCTTCCTTTCCCATATTTGTCCTTTATGGAACACTTAAAAATCATATCCAGGGATTTTGTGTGTTACATGCATGAAAAAGCCCCATTATGTTTGTAGTGAAAGAGTGTAGCACCAGGCTGTGTCTCTGCCTATCCTGAGCAGGATGCATTTATATAGAGAGAATGCTGTGTTTTGTGGCAAGCCATGTTTCTGTCCTTCCCTATCCATGTATCTCAGTGACCCAGGAGTAAGGGCTTTTACTGGCCTGGTTAGATAAAAGTGGGTATTTGGTGCCTCTGTTGTTGCTTCTTCCTCTTAATCAGCAATTCTGGAAGCAAGCCACCAGACCCAGCCACGCTGCCTGCGTGCTGCAGCTCTGATGTAACTAATTACATCAAAACTTGTTTTTAAAGTGCTCAACAGTGCTCAGTATCGGTAATCCCTGTCCTGTCACGTTTTTGTGATTCTGCAGGGTGACTTTCTAGGACAGAGACACTATAGGTGGAGGCAAGCACCATGGCAAGCCAGGATTTCCTCCTTTGGCTGCCACCCTTGCTAAAGCCAGCGACCTCTGGGAACAGCATTTGTGTCACAAAGGCACCATCGTCTTGGGTTCCACCAAGGTCGACTTGGGTTCCCATCCGTTGCTGAAACAATACAGAGCAGGAAAGCAGAGCGGCCTTTTGAGCCGTGGGTCAGGGGGATGAGCCAGAGGGATCTGTGTGGATGCTGAATTAGGTGCAGCTGCACTCAAGAGCCACAAAATTCTACCAAAAGCATAAGCAAGTACCAGGCTGACCAGCAAACCAAGGGAAGAGTTGTGTCCTGAGGAAGAAGGGAGGCACCTGCTTGGCAGATCTGCTGGTAAAAATATCAGGGTAGTCAGGCAACAACACTGGAGGAAAAATTGCATTTGTTTACTTTTTGATAGCTTTTTTTCATAAGGCAAAATTTTTTTGTTGTGCAGAAAAGGATGATGTAAATTTACCACCTTTCTGATAATGAAATCTTTATTTTTATCATCAGTTAGTAAGAATCAGATTTGAGGGAAGTAGTTTTTAACACTGACAGCATCACTTTATTTCTTCTTGTGTATATATGCTTGGCACAAGGGAAGATAATGCAGTCTGATGCTTCATCATTTGAACTCTCATTGGACAGAATGTGTTAATGGGTCTCACAGACAATAAAAACATTAACTGATGATGATTTTATGAGAAAATTTAAGCTCTTCATTTCTCTGTACTTATGACCTCCTTGTTCAGTAGGAGAAATGCTTCAAATAATATGATGAATTGGGAAGGGAAGGAAGTGGAAGGCTAAATGTGGCTATTGTATGTTTGGTATTTAATTCCTACATTTAAACCTCAGAAACAATTTTGAACCAACTTTAACAGATAAATGTCCATTACAAGAAGCAGTTGGCACTTTCAAACAAACAAAAAAAAAATCAAGAAAAAAAAATCTTAAATTGGTCTTGGATCCCTGAATGCAGACCCAGATTTAAATTCTGGCATTTAGGTATTGTGATATCTCCTAAATGTACAACTGCAGTTGGTTCTGATACACCTCAAGCAAGGTGTTTCCTACCATCCATACTACTGGGAAAGCCAATATAAACATCTAACCTAAAATGCAACATGACTACTGTTTGTGGAATACATACATGAAGGCAACCACTATTTTCCTTTCTTTCCAGTATTTCAGGGTAGAAAGACTGTGAGATATGACTTTTTCAGTTTTAAAAAATTCCTTCAAAACTAAAGAAAGAACAAAATTAGCTTAAGAAAAATGTGTCAGATTTGTGAAGACATTTGGTGGCACTTAGCTAGCTCAGCATCCTGAATTTCAGCCAGTTGAGGGTTGATTCTGGCCCTTCACGTCAATGGATTGGGATATGGACATTGCCAGGGGGGTGGTTTTTAAAGCAGCTTTTCATACTCTTAAGGAGGCTTCCCATTCACACCTCAGTGTGATTAATTCCATCTTCAATGGATTTAGTTGCTACATGTCATTTTTCTCAATCCCAGAGCAGCTGGGTGTTATAAGTTTTCAACATGTAAGAGCCAAGAAACAAACTACATGTTAAAGTAGAGAAGCTGCAGCTTATGCTAATTATTTTACATGCTCAGATATGCAAATGACAGTGAAATAGATGCTTCTTTTCCTCTTTTTCTCGCTCCTCATCCTCCCTTCAAAACTGTGTCAGGAGAGGGATCAGCTTTCCCCCATTCCTAACCATTGCTTTCATGCTGGTGCCTTTTGAATAGTAGTTCCAGACAGCAACCATTGCTTTTGGAAACAGACAATTACAAATCTGATTTTTGAAAGACTCGAATCAAGTCTTAGCACGAGAGATACTTCTGTCTGTATTCCAAGCAGGATCACAGCTTGCAGGGCTCAGTGTGCTCAGATCTCCTTAGTCAGAGTCAAGCCTAACACAGACTGCACCATGTTAAACCAGTCTATTAAATGTAACCTGTTTGAGTGGAAAGAGCAGGCTCACACCTCTCATCCTCCTGTTTTGCAGGTGGTAAGGTGAAGGTGAGAGGAAGAGAAGGTGGAGATGGAACTGCCAAATCATGCCAAACAACTGCTACTGCAGCTGAACCAGCAACGAGCCAAAGGTTTCCTCTGTGATGTGATCATTGTGGTAGAAAATGCCCTGTTTCGTGCCCATAAGAACATCCTGGCAGCCAGCAGCATGTATTTCAAATCCCTTGTCCTGCATGACAACCTGATAAACTTAGACACGGACATGGTGAACCCCACCGTGTTCCGGCAGATCTTGGACTTTATTTATACTGGTAAGCTCTTAACGACTGACCAGCCTGGTGAACAGAACTTTAACGCTCTCCTCACCGCAGCAAGCTACCTCCAACTGCACGACCTGGCAGCTCTCTGCAGAAAGAAGCTGAAGCGGAACGGCAAGTCCTTTGCTGGCAAGGCCGGTGGCCTTGGTGTCGGGAGATCTGCCAGGAGTCAAAGACTTTCCACTGCTTCAGTCATCCAAGCTCGCTATTCAGGGTCAAACGAGGGGTTGAAGGGCTCGCACTCAAAAGAGCTGTCAAAGGGAAAGCTCTCTGATGACGAGGTCTTCATCAGCAGCTCCAACCAAGAGAACTGTCACTCCTTAAGCAGGGGAGCCAGCAAGAACGGCGGTGGGGGCGGCAGTGCCAACGGGAGCACTGGTGACCAGGAGCTCGGCCTCGACCTGTCCAAGAAAAGCCCATCGCTCCCTGTTGCAGCCTCCCACGATGACACGCAGCACAGCGAAAGCCAGCACGGCTCTCCCCAATCTGCCTCAGCCCCTGCAGCCAACAGTGCCTCATCGTTCGACGAGTCGGGGGTCGGAGCCCCCCACAGCATGGCGGACAGCAGCGACCCCATGGAGATGGATCTGAGCGAGGAGTGCCACCACGTCCTGACCGAGGGCAGCCAGCGCAAGGGCCTCCGGCACTCGTCCCGCAAGAAGGAGTGGATCAAGAAAGACAACGCCTTTGACCGGAAGGAGGGGAGCAAAGACAGGGACGAGGGCGAAGGGCTGCCCAACGGTATCCTGCTGGGGCCCTTGTCCAAGTCTGTGGAGAGGAGTCTGGCCGGGGCCTACGGCGCAGACCTGCCCTACCCCTGTAAGGAGGAGGTGGAAAATGGTAAGGAGAACAGTGACGACAGCGGCCAGAGCGAGAGCGAGAGCGGCGGCCACACCAGTGCCAACTACGTCTACCGGCAGGAGGGGTTCGAGCCAGTGGCCTACGGTGACAACCTGTACGTCTGTATCCCCTGCGGCAAAGGCTTCCCGAGCTCGGAGCAGCTCAACGCCCACGTGGAAACGCACACCGAGGAAGACCTTTACATCAAGGAGGAAGGCACATACGGCAGCAAGGATGAAGCCGAGGATTTGTCCAACCCCAATCAATCCTACGCTGCGGAGTCCCGGCCCTTCAAGTGCTCAGTGTGTGAGAAGAGCTACAAGGATCCAGCCACGCTGCGGCAGCACGAGAAGACTCACTGGCTGACGCGGCCCTTCCCTTGCAACATCTGCGGCAAGATGTTCACGCAGCGGGGCACCATGACACGGCACATGCGCAGCCACTTGGGGCTCAAGCCCTTTGCCTGCGAGGAATGTGGGATGCGCTTTACCCGGCAGTACCGACTAACAGAGCATATGCGTGTCCACTCAGGAGAAAAACCTTACGAATGTCAACTGTGTGGTGGGAAATTCACCCAGCAGCGCAATCTGATCAGCCACCTGCGAATGCATACCTCTCCCACATAAGCCAAAGACTCCAGAATGAGCTTCGAGCCCATCCGCAGTGATTTACCTTTCTGTAGACTTGCTGCTTAAAAGAAAAAAAAAAGAAAAAAAGAAAAAAAAAAACAGACAAAAAAGGGGGCAGCTCCCCATACTCTGTTCAGTCATGGGAGGCCTAAACAAATGTAGCTTTAACATTTAAAAAAAAAAAAGTTCCTTTTTTTCCTTTTTTTAAAAAAAGAAAGGTCCACAGCCAAGCTGATGCATTTAGTCCAAGTCTCCCTCCAAATCTTGATGGTCTGGCAAGAAATGCCACTTCTTTTTGCACACTTCGACTTCATTGCCATAATGATTATCTGGAGCAGGTAGGGGACCTTGGGGAACTTTTGGCCTCCGCTGGCTCCCCCCTCCCTGCCTCTTTCCTTTGTGTTACTGTCACCTCACCTCCTCTCTTAAAACCAAACTCAGTAGGGGTATTTCTTGCCATTAAAAAGAAAATAAAGTACACCTTTTCAGTGGCCTAAGTAGCTGTGAAATAACATAGCATTGCATTCAGCAGTGCAGAAGCTGTGTCTGTGGACCATCTCACAGGGTTGGCAGCCCCTTCAGAGGCTGTGGGAAAGCCGTAGCAGAGGTAGAGCCCACCCCCCGTGCCCTGGGCTGGGATGGTGGGGAGAGAAGCTCCCCAGGGCTGCACCAGCCCAAGTATTTCACTTAAATGGTGAAGCCTCCTTCACCATCCCTCCCTCTTTTGCTTTTGATCTTTATCCTTGGCACATGTAACCACGTGCCACCTTCTCCACAAAACACGCAAACCTCTTTTGCCTTACCCATGACTGAACAGGGACTGTATGCCCTGGGAATTTCTTTCAGTGAGCAGGGGGTCGTCTTTACTTTTCTAGTAGTTTCGTATGAATATTCTTTGCTTAGAGGTACTTGTTTTATTAAAGGAAAAACCATTGTAACGTTTATGTGAATGTTTGAACTGGAAGGTCTGAGGTTAATTCTAGGGTGGGTGGGTGGGGAGGGGGTTTGATGTAGGCTGGACTTGCTACAAGTTCCATAGGTACTTTTTTATTATTTTTTATTTTATTTTTTGTGTGTGTGTATGTTTTTAGCTTTCCTCCCTCACTAAAGAGCGAGTCTGTGTGGACAGACTTGTTACCTTTGCTACCTCTTGAATTCATGAGAACAATAAGATGGTTAGTGAAAGATTAGGCATTTTTTTTCTTTTATTGTAAGTAATTAAATGTATAAAAGTAGAAGCTAAATTAAAGTTAAGGGATTTTTACCACCCCGTCCTTCCATCAAAAGTCAACTAGAGAAATGTTAAAGCAAAGCTTGGCCAAAGACAAAGCAAAATATACATTGAGCCAGAGGCTGTGCTGGCTGCTCGGACTTGGCTCAACTCGCAGTCTCTTGGCTGTCTGTAGTCACTTTTAGATAAAAGCAGAAAACTTCTCGGAGCTTTTTGGGCCCTTTCCAGCTTTGTTTATTGAATCTGGATATTATGGGGAGGGGAAAATGTCCCCCTCATCTTCCACTCCCCCAGCACATCTGGGTCAGTCTGTAAACACCTGGCAGGACAGAGGGTGAGGGCATAGCAGCCTATAATTTACTAGAATCCAGAGTGCAATAAGGTGGGGGAGAGGAGGAAAAAGCAAACCAAAGTGTTTCATATCCTCCCTTTTAGACAATTTAACACACGCACACAAAAAAAAAAAAAAAAGGAAAAAATGAAAAGAAAAAGAAACAAAATGTTCTTGCAACATCTGCATAAGACATCACAGCCAACAGCTGCTATTGGTTTAGGAGAGAAGACAGAGAACGTTGCCCACCAATTCTTGGCCCCTTGACTTTGTTGGCGTGACCTTGTGGAAAGCTATGGCTTATTTCAAGCCTCCCGTGACTGTGGTGGTAAAAATTCACAGCCAGTAGAATCATCCCTTCTGAAATGACTAAGGTTTACACTTGCGTTTTTTTTTTTCATTTGTTGGTTTTTGTTTTTGGTTTTTTTTCCACTCAAACCAGTATAGTCTCTATGCGTAAGGTTTACCAAACCTCACGTTTTGTCTTTTTTTAAAAAAAAAAACAAAACAAACAATTTTTTAAAGTTTCGACCAAAAAAGAAAAAAAAAAAAAGAAAAAAAGTGAGCATGTTTGACTAAAACAAAGAAATATAAGCTTCATTTTCTATTGGGGTTTTTTGGTTTTTTTGTTTGTTTGTTTTTTGTTTTTCTTTTTTTTTTTTTTTTTTGGTTAAGGTAGACTAGTCCATGAGAAGTTTTTGGGTCAGTTGAATGAACATAGGAAACTGGAATCCAGGCTCCAAGCAATAGACAACCCGAAGGCACTGAGCCTTGGCCAGGTGTCACGTTACAGGGAACACGCTCACCCCTCTCCACCCTCTCCAGCTTCTCCCAGTGCCATTGTCTGCCTGCTCTGGGGCGCCTGCAAGCCCTGGAGTGTGAGAGGGGAGCATGGACTTTTGTTTTTTTCTAATTGTGCTGAGATGCACTGTTTTCTTTGGGGGGGTTAGGTGAGGTTTTAGTGTCTTTAGCACTTCCACATTTTGAATATATATTGAATTGTTTTCTCAATTCCTTGCCAACCCCCCGAGAATGTCCCCGAAATAGTCTTTGGGGAGGACAGGGAAGGCCTTGCCATCTACCTTTTTCTCAAAGCAAGTCTCAGCAGAGCCCAGGCACAGCTGTGCAAGATGAGTTCCTGGGCACTTCCACCCTGCCTGTGCCGCCCCTGCAGCCCCAAGGCCGAGCTCCCCCGGGCGCCGCCTGCCCAAGGACCCGGCACAGAGTTCCCAAACAGTGCTGGGCTCCCTCAGAGAGAAGGGCACGGCCAGGGATGAGCCCTATCCCCCGCTGTGGGTTTTGGATGCGGGTTTCCCATTCCCTTGTGGCCCTGCAGTGGCCCCAGCGCTGGGGACAGCAGGCGGGTGCCTGGCAGGAGCCACCCTTGGGACAACAGGATGGAGCCGAGCCCAGGAGCAGCCCAAGGCTCCTCAGCAGACAAAGCCCCTGCTCCCCCTCTCTTAATTCCATTTTTACAAGATGTGTGTGGGTGATGTAGCTTCTCCCCCCCACCCAGGCCCCTTCTTCATTTTTTTTTTTTTTAGGCCTTGAGAATCACGTTGAAGTTTCAGGACCCAATGCTATTTTTTAAAAACGTTTTTTCGGAGCATTTTTTTTTTTTTAAACTTTATCCCCTCCCCAGCACTTAAACAATACGACATAAAGTCTGTGTACAGCAAGAGTATTGTACAAAAGGAAATTTTGTTCTTTTTTCAAATAGCTGTGTAAAGTTGTGTTCCATAGATTTGAGTATAAACAACATTTTCCAAATTGTGACAGTAATAATGAATAACTAATAATACTCAAAACTTCAGGGACTGTTTCAGGCCTGCTCGGGGCCTAAACACTCAACTGCATTTGTACGACATAGTATTGTATCAGACATTTTTCTGTATTTTAATGAGAAAGCAAAACACTAGTTTCATATTTAAGATTTTAAGAGTTTTAGGGTGGGGGGGAGGGAGTTGCATTTTTGGTTTTGTTTTTTTTTATTTTATTTTTTTTTTAAATACACAAAGAGCCTCAAGAGGAATAAAACAATTTAAAAACAAACAAAAAAAAAAGAAAAAAAAAAGAGGCCAGGCAGCTTAAGTATATGCTTTAGTCACTTAGTTCCAGAATGTTTTCGGAATAACAGGAAAAAAAAAAGATAAAATAGCAAAAGTTGTATAAAAGAATAAAGAAGCTCATACCCAAATTCACAAAACTATTTTTTAAACCAAAGCACATTTGAATGAGTATGGAACCTCACTTGGCTCAGAAAAGTACTAATATATTTATCTCATTGTTTACATAAACTTTTACAGTTTCAGACCTCAACAGATCTAGGGGCCAGTCAAAATTAATCTTTGCTTTTTCCATTGGTTTGTCTCTGAAGGCTACACAGTGTCCCCCAGCTTGGGAGGGGAGATCTGTGTCCCAGCCTGCATTCCAGCACTGCTCGGGGAGGGTGGGGAACAGGGTGGGCAATTACAAATATGGCACGGAGAACTTTTTTTTTATTCAATCCATGAGAGATGTTGCTGGGAGACCCAGGCACTGTTGTAGAGGCATTCCAGCCTCCCTCTTCCTCAGAGGAGTCTGAGGGCACTGAGAGGGTAAAGAGAGATGCAAGAAGCTCTAGAGACAGAAAAGGATGTTGTTAGAGGATGGTGGGAGCTGCTGTACCCAGCACGTCTCCTTCACTTTAGCCATGTGGAGCTGGGCTGTTTTCCAGTCCTTTACTGCAAAACTTCCAAAAACAAATTCTTGGCAAAAAAACCCAAAGGCCCAGCTCTGTGCATTCGGGGGAGTTAGCAGGAGCCACAAAGATCACAGAAGACACCAAAGAGCTCTTGACACGCAGCTTCTGTGAGGCTTTGGGGCTGCTGCCGTGGGGAGCACGCACAGCCCTGCCGCCCGTGCCCAGCCCGGCTCGGGGAGCTTTCGGGCCAGTGCGAGAGCAGAGTGGGCACTGAGCGGCTCCTCCTGCCAGGGCTGTGCTGCTCCGACCCCCAGAGCCACCTTAACTAACCAGCTGGACCCATTCACTCCAGACCTTACAGTCATGTGCAAAGAGCCCAACCAAAACTCCTACAGCCACCTAGGTGGAAGTCTAAGCCTGGTCTGCATGGTAGGACAGTTTAAAGGTGACCAATGAAGGTGGTTTGCTAAAATACTGCTGAAGCCAAAAAGAAAAAAAGGTTTAAGAAAGCTCCCCATGATTAGTCTTGACCCTTTGTAGCTTTTACCTTCTACACCAAAGCCACCTCAAACATTTGAGGGTGGGCTGATGGAAAATGAAATATTAATTTTGCCTGGTCTTAATATCTAACAAAGATGGTGCAAACACTATTTGACAGTGTTGTTTTTGTATCAATATGTATGTGCAGTAATGAATGTATTTATTTCTCAGATTCTGTATGCACAGTTTTGCAATGTAATTCAGAAAGTTGCAAACACAAAGATGTGTCCGCAGGGTCTTCTCTACAGGATTTCAAAAAAATGAAAAAAAAATATATTAAAAA